ACAGGTAGTGATGCTACCTGGCTGTCCAAACCTCCGTGGGTGTAGCGAGCTTAGAGAACCGAGGACCAACTGGTTGAACGTCATCTCCCTAAATCTCTGAGACAGCTTCGAGAATATTATTATTATCAGTCCCTTGGGTTCCTAATGGAACATAGGGCTTCAGTAGCACGTCTCCAGTGAACTCTGTTCTCTGAAATCTTTTGAACCTGGCTCCACGACAGCCCAGAAGCTCTCATCTCCTCCTCACACGATCTCCTCCATGTCACCCTCACCTTGGACGCCCAACTCGTCGCTTCCCATGGGGATTCCACTCGAGGGCCTCACGCGTGATGTCCTCAGTCGGCCTTCTCAGTGTATGCCCAATCCATCTCCACTCCCTTCTGCATATTTGTTGGGTGATAGGTTCTTGGTTGGTTCGTCGCCAGACCAGAGTTCCTTGTTGCTTATTCTTTCTGGCCATTTGAACTTGAGTAACCAGCCAGCGTAGGCAGTTGTTGATGAATGTCTGTAGTTTGTTGGAAATCGTTTACGTAAAGCGCCAAGTCTCTGAATCATACAGGAGCACTGACTTGACATTGGTGTTGGAAATCCGGATCTTGTTCCACATGGTGAGTGCAGGAGATCTCCACACTGGTTTCAGGCCAATGAAGGCCTGTCTCGCTTTTCCGATCCTGGCTGGTTTTGACATCCTAGTCTGTGCCACCACCTGTAGTTGAAACGATGCTGCCTAGATAGGTGAACGAGACTACTTCCTTCAAGTTTCTCTCACTGATGCTGATTGAAGCTTCTTGTTGTTGGGGATGGTGTTAATTGGGTATCTTAATTGCCTCTGTCTTCTCAATATTCACATGAAGTCCCGTTTTCGCTGCCCTGCCTCTTCTGTCAGCTTGTTAGTTTTCGCCTGTAGATTTTCAAGTTTGTGTGACATAACATATAAGTCATCGGCGAAATCTAAATCTTCTAGGATCTTTACCGCGGACAAGCGTATACCCATCTTCTCGCTTCTCACTGTTTGTTGCATGATCCAGTCCACCACAAACAGGAATATCATGGATGATAGTAGGCAGTCTTGTTTCACTCCTGTCTTCACTTCACTTCAGAGGCGTCACTGAGCTTCCCATTGTGAATTACTTGGCATGTGGCGTCTTCGTATCGTTGATGAATGAGGCAGATAAAGGCTCGTGGTATTCTGTAGTCTTGAAGTAGCTGTCTCCCAAATTACTTCTCGGTCGACGCTGTCAAAGGCCTTAACAAATTCGATGAAGTTGAGGTAGAGAGTTGACTGCCATTCTATACTCTGCTCTATGATGTTGCGTAGACCGGTGTTGCGATTCGGTCCGCACATGATTTGCACTTCCAGAATCCAGTCTGTTCTTGTGGTAGTTTGAATCCGGTGCATACTTCAGTCTCTCATGGATGAAGCGGCTTAATTTATTTTTGCTTGGCTGGGACAGAAATGAAGCATGATTCCGGGCCAGTTCTTGCAAAGATTTAGGTCACCATTCCTTGGGAGTTTGACAATGTAAGCCATCTTACAGTCAGTGGGCACGTACCTTCAATTCCTTCCAGACCTTCGACAAAAGTGGTGTGAGCATGTCCACTGTTGTCTCTGCGTCTGCTCTCAGTGCTTCTGGAGGGATTCCATCTGGTCCTCCTGCCTTCCCGCATTTCGGCAGCTTTATGGCACTCAGGACTTCCACTTTTGTTGGAGGATTTGCGTTCACTGGTAGTTCTTCGGCTGGGCTGCAGGTGATATTTCTGGACGAAGTGCAGGTGGTGGTCGATTCAAGAGATTTTTGAAGTGGTCAGCACATCGTTCCCTTTGTCTCTCCTCTTTGGTGTTAAACAAGTTCCCTTCACTATCTTTCATTGGTCACATCTGCATCAATCTCTTCCATCTGAGATAGTATTTTGGTTATTTGATATAGTGTCGTCAGGTCTCTCCTACCTGCAGCAGCCTGTTCTGCTTCACTTACCAATGTGTCGTACAAGTGTCTTTTGTCTTTGCGCGCACTCTCCCTCACTTCCTTGTCCAGTGTTTTGTACATTGCACTCAATTCCTCTTTTCGTTGTGCATCCCTGCACTGCACTAGTGCATCTTCTGCTTCACCATCTTCCTCTCCCTGCTCCATCAGCTTCCATGTGTCCGTCGACATCCACTCCATTACTTGTCTTCTTTCTTCCTCCTTCCTAACACGGTTATGCAGGTTTCTTTCCAGTGTTCTCACACACCCGATCCTTCAGGGATGCTGCTCAATGTCTCCCATTTTGTCCTGACGACTGGCTGATTTGAAGATGTCCTGTATAGTTTCGTCCTTCCGTTTCTGTTTTGGGAGTTGAACTTCAACTGTGGTCTATCACCAACTTCTTTGAAGGCTTCCAACTTGATTTCGAAGGCAGGTCCCTTGCACTAGACAGTGAGTGGTGTGAACTTACATCTGCTCCCCTTCTTCATCTGATCTGATATGATCTGATCTTGTGTCCAGTAGGCTGACTGCGTCTCCATCTCCCCTTTCTTCACATTCAGATGAAGTCGATCTGATTTTGAGTGTGGTGTGACTGGTTTCTGGTGAAGTCAGATCCATGTCGCTGCCTTGTGAATATCCTTGTGTGTGTTTGTACACACTGCCTCCAACCACCAAATCGTTGAATGCACAGAAATCTGCAAACAGTTCTCCATCCGAATTCATCATTTCACCGAGTGTTTCTCGACCCATGATGGATGAGTTCTCCTCCTGTGTTGTCTGCTCACAGTTTGGCATTCATGTCACCCCACCCATCAGAATTTAGATGTCACCAACTCGAGTCTTGTCCTGTACTGATTACAGTTGTCCGTAGAATTCCTCCATCTTCTCTTCATCTGCATTATTTGTAGGTGCGTAGCGTATCGTGGCGTTGATTGATTGTGACTTTCCTTCCTTTCGAGTTGAATCTTGTTGTCATGATCCTGATCCTGCAGGAGGAGATTGGTTCCGACTGCATGAGAGACAGCCTCTGATGCTGTTGTGGACATCATGATATCCACTGGAAAACTCAGTGTGCTCTTGTTTGTTGTGTGGGTGACAATATTGGAGTAGATTATTGACTCTCCAGTTGATAGTTTGGAGAGTCCACTTCTATCTTCCACTTCCATCTACTTTCGCAGATTCCCAGCCTAGCACTTCTATATTATATCTCCTCATCTCTTTGGCAATCTGGGTAGTTTTGGTAGTTTCAAGCATTGTGTGGACATTCCATGTCGCCACGCTTATTTTCGCTTCCATCGAGGGAAAACATTTAGGTCAATTGGTTTCCCCTTAGTCTTTCACCAACCAGCGTCATTTCGTCTCTCCGATTCCAGCGAGGAATAATTCTGTTTTTATTTTTTATAATTTCCTCGTGCTTTGAAGTTTGTTTGGCGATTGGATTGGTTTTCCTGGTTGGGGTTGCTAGCCCTATGTTCAACCTTCCTTTTTTCTGCAGGCTTAGGACCGGCTAGTATTTAGTGATGTATATATATATATATATATATATATATATATATATATATATATATATATATATATATATATATAAATTTTTGGATCATCCAATATGTAATTCGGTCGTTAATTATCATGGAAGTGAATTGCCTCAGGTATATAATGGGTGAAGACGGTGTTTGATGGCTTTATAAACTGACTTCCATAAAACTAGTATTCACAGATACAAACACGTATTAAGAGCAATCGGTTGTTAATAAATGATTAGTATAGAACCGATCGTTGAACTGCCACAAAGAAGTAATTAGTTTCATGTTGTCTACTTTTGAGTACTGACAGAACTCTATTGATTAGGTTAAACGTTCCATCATCGTAATGATATCAAACGACGAAAAATGTCTTAAGTCTTTAAGAGAAGAAAGAGCAAATGAGCGAAGTAATTTTTCTTTTTGACAAAGCCATACAATCATACTGATAAATATTGAGAATAAATATCAGCCTACTATTAGTCAGTAGGGGCACATGATCACTGTAATGATCAAGAGTAAAATAAAAAATGGTCCAAAAGGCAAAAAAGTTTTTAATAATGTATCTTCAGCACGCAGATATCTAGCTTGAATTGATGAATTTTCATTGCCTCCATTGTGCAAAAGATACAATATCGTACTCCTTTTAAACCGTTTACTTCCACTTTCTTGATAATCGTGAAAGTAGACTATGGCGGAGCTAAGTGATCAGAATCGATTTCATCAGCTGACATTAGGTGATCGTCGGTAATCTTCAAAAATTCGTACCTCACAATGGTTTCCTACTTTTTGATATACCTTGGGGAGACGATTTTGTAGTCTCTAGAGAATGGACACTGCTCAAGAGAAGGTAACCTATATCACCGATTCCCGCAGTTAGTGATTTCTTCATACACAGTAATAGTTATCAGTAAAATATGCACTGCTTTATCAACAGTAATTTTTACTACTTAGGCTATCGTAGGTAACCTTGATTAGTGAGTAGTTCTTCGTATACCATGATGATAATGATAAAAATTAGAGGTGAGCAGAAATTAAGTTCACAGCAGGACTCAAACCAAAGGTTTCAAGGTGACTGATGTAGGACCTTATTGAAACGAAATAATTAATTAGATCTAAATTTGATTTCAATAATCAAGCTTTTCTTTTTGATTTTTATCTGAAAGTTAGAAGTATACACACCTTAATTTCTCAATATATGTGAAGCTCAGCTAGATCCTCGAAAGTCAATCAAAATCAAGCTGAATCAGAAATGCATAATGTTTGATCATTGATGAAGCAGTCTGAAGTAGTTAGTAAGTATGCTGCTTTATAACTGTCAAATATTTAAGTAGTTAATTCATCATAAAACCACTCCTAAAGAAAGCATAATCATTTTAAATCGAAGTTTTTTTCTAAAAAACACAGTTGTCAATGGTTGTTATGAAAAGTACAATATTGTATTGAACAGCATTAGAATTGTTTATCCTATCTTAATTCGAAGTACATGATGTAACCGATAATTGATTGTAAGCTAAAACAAACTTATATTTACATTGTTACCAATGTATGCATTTGCGTGCGCAGTCCCATTAGTATTAGTATTAGTAGTATTAGAAGTAGTAGTAGTAGTAGTAGTAGTAGTAGTAGTAGTAGTAGTAGTAGTAGTAGTAGTAGTAGTAGTAGTAGTAGTAGTAGTAGTAGTAGTAGTAGTAGTAGTAGTAGTAGTAGTAGTAGTAGTAGTAGTAGTAGTAGTAGTAGTAGTAGTAGTAGTAGTAGTAGTAGTAGTAGTAGTAGTAGTAGTAGTAGTAGTAGTAGTAGTAGTAGTAGTAGTAGTAGTAGTAGTAGTAGTAGTAGTAGTAGTAGTAGTAGTAGTAGTAGTAGTAGTAGTAGTAGTAGTAGTAGTAGTAGTAGTAGTAGTAGTAGTAGTAGTAGTAGTAGTAGTAGTAGTAGTAGTAGTAGTAGTAGTAGTAGTAGTAGTAGTAGTAGTAGTAGTAGTAGTAGTAGTAGTAGTAGTAGTAGTAGTAGTAGTAGTAGTAGTAGTAGTAGTAGTAGTAGTAGTAGTAGTAGTAGTAGTAGTAGTAGTAGTAGTAGTAGTAGTAGTAGTAGTAGTAGTAGTAGTAGTAGTAGTAGTAGTAGTAGTAGTAGTAGTAGTAGTAGTAGTAGTAGTAGTAGTAGTAGTAGTAGTAGTAGTAGTAGTAGTAGTAGTAGTAGTAGTAGTAGTAGTAGTAGTAGTAGTAGTAGTAGTAGTAGTAGTAGTAGTAGTAGTAGTAGTAGTAGTAGTAGTAGTAGTAGTAGTAGTAGTAGTAGTAGTAGTAGTAGTAGTAGTAGTAGTAGTAGTAGTAGTAGTAGTAGTAGTAGTAGTAGTAGTAGTAGTAGTAGTAGTAGTAGTAGTAGTAGTAGTAGTAGTAGTAGTAGTAGTAGTAGTAGTAGTAGTAGTAGTAGTAGTAGTAGTAGTAGTAGTAGTAGTAGTAGTAGTAGTAGTAGTAGTAGTAGTAGTAGTAGTAGTAGTAGTAGTAGTAGTAGTAGTAGTAGTAGTAGTAGTAGTAGTAGTAGTAGTAGTAGTAGTAGTAGTAGTAGTAGTAGTAGTAGTAGTAGTAGTAGTAGTAGTAGTAGTAGTAGTAGTAGTAGTAGTAGTAGTAGTAGTAGTAGTAGTAGTAGTAGTAGTAGTAGTAGTAGTAGTAGTAGTAGTAGTAGTAGTAGTAGTAGTAGTAGTAGTAGTAGTAGTAGTAGTAGTAGTAGTAGTAGTAGTAGTAGTAGTAGTAGTAGTAGTAGTAGTAGTAGTAGTAGTAGTAGTAGTAGTAGTAGTAGTAGTAGTAGTAGTAGTAGTAGTAGTAGTAGTAGTAGTAGTAGTAGTAGTAGTAGTAGTAGTAGTAGTAGTAGTAGTAGTAGTAGTAGTAGTAGTAGTAGTAGTAGTAGTAGTAGTAGTAGTAGTAGTAGTAGTAGTAGTAGTAGTAGTAGTAGTAGTAGTAGTAGTAGTAGTAGTAGTAGTAGTAGTAGTAGTAGTAGTAGTAGTAGTAGTAGTAGTAGTAGTAGTAGTAGTAGTAGTAGTAGTAGTAGTAGTAGTAGTAGTAGTAGTAGTAGTAGTAGTAGTAGTAGTAGTAGTAGTAGTAGTAGTAGTAGTAGTAGTAGTAGTAGTAGTAGTAGTAGTAGTAGTAGTAGTAGTAGTAGTAGTAGTAGTAGTAGTAGTAGTAGTAGTAGTAGTAGTAGTAGTAGTAGTAGTAGTAGTAGTAGTAGTAGTAGTAGTAGTAGTAGTAGTAGTAGTAGTAGTAGTAGTAGTAGTAGTAGTAGTAGTAGTAGTAGTAGTAGTAGTAGTAGTAGTAGTAGTAGTAGTAGTAGTAGTAGTAGTAGTAGTAGTAGTAGTAGTAGTAGTAGTAGTAGTAGTAGTAGTAGTAGTAGTAACTGATGAAACAAACATTTGTTTTGCGAAAGTAACAATGATTAAAATATATGTAGCATGAAAGCAAATAGAAGTTATTCCAGATAGGCGAATATCATGATGCTAACAGCAAACAAACAGGATAGACATACAATGAAATAATTACCAATGAATCGATTTTCTTGGTCAGATGATCATTATAACTGATACCAATATATATCTGTCTTTAATATGACATTCATTAATTAAACTAATTCTTCGAAACAAATTGTCTTTAAACACACCCACCAAGATGCTCAGATAGTTAAGTCAAAGTGGATTCGTTCCAGCTAAAAGCGATATTCCACTATAAAGTAAGTAAGAAAATAAGGATTAGAAATAATTTAACCTTCATCAAGTCATATTTTAGTCTAAATTGTTCTCCTGAAATGTGTTGCTGTACAAATAGCTGTTATATCTACGGAGGCTCTAGATAGGATTGCTTTTAAATATTCAACTTCAATCAAAGTGCACAGTAATGTTGAGTTACACAACTTCTGGACTAAACTGAAAATTGATCCGAAGAAGTAAATAACCACTTAAGACAGGGGGAAATAAAACTGGTTACTCTTCAGTGATATCCACACTAGGTAGTCAAACTGAGAACAAAGCTCACTCTGATACTCCTGATTTACTATCATTGTTTGGTGAACATCCTGGCGTCTGACTAGGTGAGTATTAAAAGACTAAGCACAAACAAAATATAAAACATAAAAACAGAATTATTCCTCGCTGGAATCGGAGAGACGAAATGACGCTGGTTGGTGAAAGACTAAGGGGAAACCAATTGACCTAAATGTTTTCCCTCGATGGAAGCGAAAATAAGCGTGGCGACATGGAATGTCCACACAATGCTTGAAACTACCAAAACTACCCAGATTGCCAAAGAGATGAGGAGATATAATATAGAAGTGCTAGGCTGGGAATCTGCGAAAGTAGATGGAAGTGGAAGATAGAAGTGGACTCTCCAAACTATCAACTGGAGAGTCAATAATCTACTCCAATATTGTCACCCACACAACAAACAAGAGCACACTGAGTTTTCCAGTGGATATCATGATGTCCACAACAGCATCAGAGGCTGTCTCTCATGCAGTCGGAACCAATCTCCTCCTGCAGGATCAGGATCATGACAACAAGATTCAACTCGAAAGGAAGGAAAGTCACAATCAATCAACGCCACGATACGCTACGCACCTACAAATAATGCAGATGAAGAGAAGATGGAGGAATTCTACGGACAACTGTAATCAGTACAGGACAAGACTCGAGTTGGTGACATCTAAATTCTGATGGGTGGGGTGACATGAATGCCAAACTGTGAGCAGACAACACAGGAGGAGAACTCATCCATCATGGGTCGAGAAACACTCGGTGAAATGATGAATTCGGATGGAGAACTGTTTGCAGATTTCTGTGCATTCAACGATTTGGTGGTTGGAGGCAGTGTGTACAAACACACACAAGGATATTCACAAGGCAGCGACATGGATCTGACTTCACCAGAAACCAGTCACACCACACTCAAAATCAGATCGACTTCATCTGAATGTGAAGAAAGGGGAGATGGAGACGCAGTCAGCCTACTGGACACAAGATCAGATCATATCAGATCAGATGAAGAAGGGGAGCAGATGTAAGTTCACACCACTCACTGTCTAGTGCAAGGGACCTGCCTTCGAAATCAAGTTGGAAGCCTTCAAAGAAGTTGGTGATAGACCACAGTTGAAGTTCAACTCCCAAAACAGAAACGGAAGGACGAAACTATACAGGACATCTTCAAATCAGCCAGTCGTCAGGACAAAATGGGAGACATTGAGCAGCATCCCTGAAGGATCGGGTGTGTGAGAACACTGGAAAGAAACCTGCATAACCGTGTTAGGAAGGAGGAAGAAAGAAGACAAGTAATGGAGTGGATGTCGACGGACACATGGAAGCTGATGGAGCAGGGAGAGGAAGATGGTGAAGCAGAAGATGCACTAGTGCAGTGCAGGGATGCACAACGAAAAGAGGAATTGAGTGCAATGTACAAAACACTGGACAAGGAAGTGAGGGAGAGTGCGCGCAAAGACAAAAGACACTTGTACGACACATTGGTAAGTGAAGCAGAACAGGCTGCTGCAGGTAGGAGAGACCTGACGACACTATATCAAATAACCAAAATACTATCTCGGATGGAAGAGATTGATGCAGATGTGACCAATGAAAGATAGTGAAGGGAACTTGTTTAACACCAAAGAGGAGAGACAAAGGGAACGATGTGCTGACCACTTCAAAAATCTCTTGAATCGACCACAACCACCACCATTTGCAACTCCTCCGTAAATACCACCAGGAGCCACGGAAGTGACAGTAAACACAAGTCCTGAACGCCATAAAACTGATGAAATTCGGGAAAGCAGCAGGACCAGATGGAATCCCTCCAGAAGCACTGCAAACAGACTCAGAGGCAACAGCGGACGTCCCCACACCACTACTACAGAAAGGAAGGTACCCGCCCATTGGGTGGAAGAAGGGTACCTTGTCAGAATGCCAAAGAAGGGAGACTAAGTCTTTGCAAGAACTGGCGAGGAATCATGCTCAAGCCCTGTCAACCAAATCAAAATATTAAGCCGCATCATCCTGGAGATTCAAAATTACGACCGGAACAGACTGGCTGGCTGACTAACTGACTGTATGACTGACTGACTTCAGTAAGAACAAATCATGTGCGGATCAAATTGAAACGCAACTCTACGCATCATCACAGAACAAATCATCGAATGGCAGTCAACTCTCTACCTCAACTTCATCAACTTTGAAAACGCCTTCAACAGCGTCGACCGAGAAGGAATTTGGCAGTTGCTTCAGCACCACGGTTTCAGTACCACAAACCATCATCAACCCCATTCAACACCTATGTGCCAAGTGATTCACAATGGAAAGCTCAGTGACACCTTTGAAGTGAAGTGAAGACAGGAAGGAGTAAGACAAGACTGTCGCCTACCATCACTCATGATCTTCCTGATTATGCTCGACTAGACTGGGTCATACAAGAAACTGTGAGGATCGAGAAGATGGGCATACGCTATCTGGATGGATGAAAAGAGCCTAGAAGAAGGTTGGGATTTCACCCACAACGATGATTTATATCTAATGCCTTGTCACACAAACTCGAAGATCTACAGGCAAAAACTAACAAGTTGACAGAATAGGCAGGGTAGAGAAAACGGGAATTCAAGTGAAAGTTGAGAAGACGGAGATGATGAAGATAACCAACCAACATCAGCACCAACAACAAGAGGCACCAATCAGCATTAACGGGAGAAACCTAGAGGAAGTAGTCTGTTTCACCTACCTACCCAGCTAGGCAGGCAGCATCGTTTCAACTACAGGCGGCACAGGCGCAGATGAGGACGTTAAAGCCAGGATCGGAAAGACAGCAAGACAGGCCTTCATCCATCTCAAGTCAGTGTGGAGATCTACTGCACTGCAATGCACTGCACCTCACTGCACTCAGTATGAAGCGTGAACATGATGCAGATTTTCAACACCAATGTCACTGAAGTCAGTGCTGCTATATTGTTCAGAAAGTTGGCGAGTCACGAAAATCATTTTCGACAAACTACAGACATTCATCAACAGCTGGTGACTACGCTCACACAATACTGAAGATCAGATGACCAGACTAATCAGAATAAGCAACAAGGAGCAAGGAACACACAGTGGCTGGCAACAAACCAACGAAGCAACAACCTATCACTCAACAAATATGCAGGAGAAGAAAGTGGAGATGGATTTGATTGGGCATACACTGAGAAGACCGATTGGGGAGATCATGCGCCAGGCCAGTTTGTCGAGTGGAATGCAAAGTGGAAACGACGAGTTAGGCGATCGAGGGGAGGGTGACATTGAGGAGATGGTGTGATGAAGAAATGAAATCTTGTGAGTAGTGGTGGATCGAGGTTGAGGAACCTGGAGAGAAGAGAGTGAAATGGAGGCGTGCAACTGAATCCCTATTTTCTACTGGGAACCCAAGGGAAAATTAATGATATGTATAATGATTTATGGGTCCCGTCAAAGAATGGTAACATTGTCGACTTAATCTTAAGTCACAGCTGCTGGCGATCCACGGTTGCATACTGTCCCCATTTTCTTTCGTCTAATCCATGGTTTATAATAAATTTAAAGAAATATTTTCTTTTGATATTGTTGAATACTGACTTTCAGTAAAACCAAGGGTACTCTTTTCTTCCGTTGCTGTAATTCTTTAGCTTTGTTTGCCTGGTTTCTAGCGTTGTTGTTCTTATCAATGTTCACAACAAGCATCTATTAATTTTAAGTGCCAGATAGTAATCTACTAAGTAGATCACTTCTCATGCAACGAGTTAAGTTTTATGCCGTAGCCTGTAATTTCTGTTTGTTATTTTTTTGTCCTGAAACGTCATTATTTTATCTGAATGATTCAACATCACTGTAATTTAGTAAAGACAATTTTGGATACTTGGCATGCAAGTAGTGTTTATCATTGCTCAGCATATTTGTGGTTTATTTAGCATGTAAGGTAGTGATTATTTGGTTGGCGTCTGACTGGAAGCAGAAATGCTGACCTATATGTACTTTAAACACAAGCAAATCCTACACTTTGCTTCTGGAAACTATCGGATATTATCGAAATGAAATTGAGGATTACGAATAGGATTGGTGAATAGGCGCCTACATATTTATGATGGTTGGTTGGTTACGCGCAAAAATTACAAACAGCAGAATACAGGCTAGGCTTTTGAATGCTCTTTACCCATGGAACTTAGTATTTACTAAAGTAACTGCTTCAGATGGTTTGACCAAGAAACGTTGGTTAATGCAACTTTTACTTCCTATGGATTCTAAGCGCAGAGGTGAAAGTGACCCGAAAGTAATTACTTATCTCATAGTAGACGTTACAGTTCTCAAAATCACGTTACTGCTGGGAATCTTATATCCCCGATAATGAACCTTCTCTACTGAAATTATCTTATATT